GAACGGTTACGAGAGAAACAAAACCAAAATAATCGTATTAAACGCCGTACGCGTGTCTCTGACGCGCCAATAGGCGTCTTACACGTGGTAGGCGTTTAACTGCCTTTTGCATAATGTGCGCCGCCTCTGGCTATCACGCTCCTCAAACGCTGCGCCAGCATTTATGGCGAGGAAGGTAAAGAGATACGGAAGAGCAAACGTATCTCCTCAGAGATCTGGTCAGATTCGGTTGATTTAAAAATATCAAAGATTCAGATTGGCAAAGATCGTCACTCTTGATGTATACCCTATACTGTCACATCAGCTCGCCACTGGAGCACACTTATCAGGTCGTCACAAAGATGACATTTTGCCAGATCGGCTCAACTGTGCCAGTTCGTTCACAAGTGTAGATTTTTTACTAAAATCCTCCAGGATTCAGCTCGTCACATGTCATGACGACAACCACATTTGTCAGGTCATTACACGGATTGCAACTCTCACACAGGCCACAAACTTTTGCATAAATCAGTAGGTGCCCTAGGTCGCCCTATTTGACAGCACCGCTCGGGCGGGCTTATAAAGTGGTGGTCAACAAACTCAAGTCGCCTCACCTCGTGATCACGGCTAACTGAGCGTCACCTGGTCGCACTTCGGTAGCACTCAAAGCTCTGGTCGCCACATAGACGGTTTGAATCCTGTTGCGGATCACTTCAGCTCACCGCCATAACAAGTCCATGTTAACGTGGCTACGAATGTCAGCTCGCCCACACGTTTTCAGGCTCGCGAGCTCGCCTCTTTTCGTTTTACCTATCAGCTTGCCCCTCGTCGAGATCGGCCGCAGGCTGTTAAACCCGCTTGGAATAGGCCCAGCCCAACACCGGGCCTAACACCCAAGCAGAACTGGGCTATGCATAACGGGCCTAGGTTACCACCTGTTGGCCAAAGCTGAAGGGGCATCAGTACAAGCATACCCACGTGGGCCAACGACGAACTGACTGAGCTCCAACAAAGCATGACAAGCTGACAAAGCTCCAACAAAGCATGACGAGCTCACAAAACTCTAATGAAGAACGACGAGCTTGCAGAGCTCTAACAAAGAATGATGAGCTTCCTGCTTCCAGGTCGTCACTCTTTAGCTTCCTGGTTTTAGGTCGCCACTCATCAGTTTCCTGGTTCCAGGTCGTCACTCCTGAGCTTCCTGCTTTCAGGTCGTCACTCTTGAGCTTCCAGGTTTCAGGTCGTCACCTCAGTCTCCTGGCTCTAGGTCATAACGCCTCGGCTCCGGCCGCTATGACTTCGGTCATCACTATTTACCTCGGCTCCGGCCATAGTGACCCCAAGTTACCTATTTCACTTCAGCTACGGCTATAACACATGACTCTGTGTCATGCATTTTTACCTCAGCTATGGCCCAAAACACGTGCATCAAGCTCACCTGGTTTTAACACCAGCTCCCCCACGCTTGCTCGATAGGAAGCCGGCATACACATGCACAATAGACTTGGCCGCGATGGCTTCAGGCCGCCTAGATCGGTCGTGCGCGAGGGCGGACATGAACATAAAACATCACTCCTCATCCTCAAGGTCAAACACCGTGCTAACAAGACTCCCAACCCAGTTCGTCAACCGAACACCGAGGGGGGAGTAATGTTGGGATTAGGCCCAACTACGCACACACAGGCCCAAGAGGAGGAGACATACCCACGTGGACAGCACCACGTGGACCAATGAGAGGCTTACATG